GCAGATGTGCACCGGGGTAGCCTGGTGGCGGAGGCGCTAGCTCTGCCCTGCACGGCAGCGCAGACTGGAAGCCCAGAAACAGCTCCGAAGGCAGCGAGAACGCCGCGCACGGAAGCCGGCGTGGCACATGCAGTCGTGTTTGTGTGCGGGAAGAAAGCTTGTCATTTGGAAACCTGCAGAAATGCTTACCGCTACCTTATTCCAAAATTAATTTTAGATAAATAAAAAAATTGAACAGAAAAAAATAAGCCATAAAAAGTGCTATAAACCAAACAGGTGAATTTTATAGGTCTCCCCAAATTAGGAAAATACTTTCTAAATATGCTGTGAATTCCAGGCATCACAAAGGAAAAGACTGGCACATTGGGCTTCATAAAAACATCCTGCAGAGTAACCAAGGAAATAGAAAAATACCAGGAAGCAAAAGTTACTTGTGTTACTTGCAACAAAGAGGGAATTCCTTCCTATGTAAAAGGCTCATACGAATCAATAAGAGGATGACGAACAAATCCTTTAGAACTCGGCCTGCAGAGGATGGGAACAAGCAGTTCACAGAAAAAGAAACGGCAGTGACCGTAAACCCGTGAATACAGGCTCAGCGTCACCACTAAGTTAGCAGATGCTAATCTGAACAGTGACAAGACACTGTTTTGTGACCATCAGACTAAATGACTGACCTTGCCCAGTGCTGGCAAGGGCCTGGCTAACCTTTTCCACGGGAATGTAAATTGGTATTTCTTTCTTCAGAAACTCATTTCTCAATAATTTTCAAAATGCTAAATATGCATGGCCTTTGACCCAGCAACTCCATTTCTTACGGAATTTATCCTATAGAAATATGGTACTGGCATAACTGTACAAACACATAAACACACACACCCTATTGTGGTAAACACATTGATTTCAGGAGCTATTAAGTAATTTACTCTTTTTCCTTAGATGTGAAAAATTTCAATAGCGTTTTGAAATGGAATTGAATGCAAGCCGTACGCGTCTCTTAAGCAAGGTGTTGTGCGCTTGAGAATAATTCCCAGTTAGCATGCAACCTGGTGATGACTTCACCGGAGGTGCGTGATTGCCGGCATCTTTTGTGCAAACTGAGAAAACCACGAGCGCTTCCTGGTCAGGCGGAGGGCACTCATTTACTTCTGGGAAAAGAAAGACGCAGCATTTTGTAACTACTTGCTCAGGGACCGCAGACACAGGAATGCTTTTGTGAAACGCTCCGTGGATATCCGGCAGCAGCTGTGTGGTCCCAGCGCCTGGGAATGAGAGCTGTGAGGCTGGGGGAATTTCTTTGAGATAAGGAGCAGCGCATTAGTGATGCGCTGGTGCTCCGTGGCAAAGCCAGAGCTCTTTCTGGGAAGAGAACTCCTGCAGCCTGAGTTCATTAGCAACACAATCTGAGAGATCTGACTAAGGTCCAGAAGCTGAAGGCCCCAAATGTGCAGGGAAACAAGAGAACCCTTCACGTATTTGAGGAAATTAAAACATGCTTTCCGTTTAGTTTTCAGTGTAAAAAAATGAATTGTGAAATACTGTGCTTATGGTCTTTAGAAGAGTTCAAAATAGGGGCTTGTTAAATTTGCTGGAACTTGATCTTGTTTAGATGCTAAATAAACAATAACCAATATCAATGAACAAACATCTGAGGATTGCTGTATTTGTCAAAGCAGAGGGCTGGCGTTTAAAACGACCCTATCACACTTTCTGCAAAGTGAATTCCTTTGGGGCTGTCTCAAGTGGCCCTTTCCATCGAGACAGGGCAACAACTGGGCTTCTTAGATTATTTGCCAAGAGCCAGTCAATTTTTTTTATTGGAGTATGGTCAGTTACAATGTGTCAATTTCTGGTGCCCAGCACGGTGTCCCAGCCATGCATGCACATATATATATATATATATATACACACATATATTAGTTTTCATATTCTTTTTCATTAAAGGTTATTACAAGATATTGAATATAGTTCTCTGTGCTGTACAGAAGAACATTTTGTTATCCATTTTTATACATAGTGGTTATCATTTGCAAATCTCAAACTCCCAAATTTTCCCTTCCCACCCCTTTCCCCTGGTGACCATAAGATGGGTTACTAAGTCTGCAAGTCCGTTTCTGTTTTGTAGATGAGTTCATTTGTGTCCTTTATCTTTTCTTTTCCTTTCTTTTTTAGATTCCACATATGAGTGATATCACATGGCATTTTTCTTTCTCTTTCTGGAACTCTAATTCAAAAAGATACATGCACCCCAATGTTCATAGCAGCACTGTATACAATAGCCAAGACATGAAAGCAACCTGAATGTCCATTGACAGATGACTGGATAAAGAAGATGTGGTATACTTACACAATGGAATACTACTCAGCCACAAAAGAGAATAAAACAATGCCATTTGCAGCAACATGGGTGGACCTGGAGATCATCACTGTAAGTGAAGTGAGCCGGAGTCAGTCAGTCAATTCCGAATGAAATGCCATCATTGTGTTCTGCACATGAGGGGTTATTTCCTCACGTACTTAAACAAGCCTCCCTGGACTCGTGGAGATAAACAGACACACTATTACCAGAACACGATTTTTTTTGTGAACACTAATTATCTGCTGACAGTGTGTAAGCTTTGGCCATGATAGGAGATGGCAAGTGTGAGGCATCGTAAGACAAAAAATATCTGTAACCCACACAAACCTGGGCCATCCAGCTCTTCTCTTTGGGACAGACTCCCTGAGCACCCAGCTGCGCCACTCCCAACCCCAGCACCCAACCACTCAGCTCCGGAACCCTGACGCAAAACGTGGTCTTCAACGTGGGCTTTTCCTGAGAGGGAAGCCAGTGCACGTGAGGAGGGGTGCCCAGAGACCCTCTCTGACACTTCCATCTCAAGGCCCCATCTCTGTATCCCTTCCCTCCACCCCCGGGTGGCCCAGCCTCCACCCACTCAGGAACAGTGACTCGCTTCTCCACTTCCTCCTTCAACACCTGCATCTCATGCGCCCCCCGATGGCTCCAAGCGACTTCTCCACTCCTCACGTAGGAGCCTCTGTTCTTTCTTTGCTTCTTTAATTCAGCTCATCAACTCGTTTCATTTCTCTGCCAAAGAGAAACCGGCCGATGAGGAGAAAACTGACTGCCCCTTAGAGGGCAGGGAGGGGAAAGGTTATACATACAGTTATTTTGTTTTTTTCTCCTCTGTCAAAGAGTAAAAAGTTTCTTGTCTTCCTTTCATTTTTTGAACACTTGCCACATGGTAGGGATGGCATGGGGGCAAGTTTGACTGAAACACAATTTTTGTCCTTGAGGATTTGACCATTTCCAGCTTTGACAACTTGGACAAACCTCTAGGACAAAAAAGAAGGGGGGAGGGGGAGGGGGAGAGGAGGAAGGGGAGGAGAAAGAAGAAAGAAGAAGGAGCAGGAGACAAGTCGTTGGTCTAAATAAAGTTGGTTTCTGCTCCATCTTTCGAAAGCTTCTCCCATGAGACTCAATCTCAGGGTTCCTTTGGCGCTCCCTTCAGAAGCCTTTGCCTTAACCTTGAGACAAGGATCTACGTGTCCCCGCCTTGACCTATTGTGTGATGCTACGATATGGTTTCCCAGGAGTTGAGGCTGTAATTTATCTGTAAGTCAACCAAAACAGATGGTCAATTCTAGAACACTTCTCCTCTTCTCTGACTTTTCAACAAGAGAAGAAACATACGTTTATCTTCTAACCTGCTAGAGCACGGTTGACTTTTGAACAGAATCATAAGATTTTAGTCAAACAATGAGTTGCAAGTCTAGTACTCGTAATAACACTTGAACTGCTGTTGTCTCCTTTTTAAAACAAAATCCACGGGGGGAGGGTAGAGCTCAGTGGTACACTGCATGTTTAGCATGCACGAGGTCCGGGGTTCGATCCCCGATACCTCCATATAAATAAGTAAATACCCTAGTTATCTCCCTCCCCCCACCAAAAAATTTAAAAAACCCAAAATTCATAATAAGCACCAGTGCTTAGAACATTTCCTTCGTCGTTGCCATTTGGCCACTGACATGCTTAGTGCGCAGATGAAGAAGCATCAGTGAGTGAGTGAGCAGAGTCCTAGATGGGAGGAACGTGAGGCCACAAACGTGCGTTGCTCCCCGTAGTATCCTCAGCTTGGAGCGTCTACCTGGCACGTGTGGTCCATTCAATAATTACTTTGTTGAATGAATGAATGAATGAATGAAAAAAAAAGGAATCTGAGATTTCTACTCTCTGTTTCCTTGCTTTTCATAATCCCAGCACACTCCATGCAAAGAAGAATCCTTTCAAATATAAAAGACAAAATGTAATCTTTATCCTTCTTATGCAGCTTCTTGGCTACAGTTACTGGAGACGCAGGCGGGCATGGAGAAACTCCTCTGGAATGAATGGCATGCTGGATGCTGGGTTTTAACCCAGAAGATCACGGGTTAGCATTCTCTTCCTGTGGACGAGATGGTCAAAGGGTGGTGATGACGAGAATTATGTTAGGAAACTCTTTCTGCAG